AAGGAAGGAAGGAGAAAGGGGAAGGAAGGAAGGGGAAGGAAGGAAGGGAGGGAAGGGAGGAGGGAGGGAGGAAGGAAGGGGAAGGAAGGGAGGGAGGGAAGGAAGGAAGATCTGCATGCTTCATCAGAATAAATTCACCATGAAGCTGCTTTTAATACAAGGGCTCCAAATAAACCACTTTTTAAAATTCAGCACTCTTTTATATGCCTATGATAATTTATAATATCCATTTTTTAAAAAGTCCCCTGAATGTTATTCCGTATACAATATAGTTATTTTGGGAAAGGCTTTTTTTTTTTTTTTAAATGCACCACCGTGTAAGGATTCTTTTTTAAAGCTAAGGATGACATATGCTAGCTGTATCCTTGCACCGAAGTGTAACTTCTTATTAAGTATGATATTCCTTTCCTTTCCTTTCCTTTCTCCCTTCTGTTCCTGCCTCGGTACCAGCAACAAGCTTGCTTTTCATTCAGAAATAGACACATGAGAGAGAGGGAGAGGGGGGGGAGAGGGAGGGGGGAGAGAAAGAGTGGGAGGGAGAGAGAGGGGGGAGAGAGGGAAGGAGAAAGAGGGTGGTAGGAATAGGGAGGGAGAGAGGGAGAGGGTAGGAGGGGGACCCCTCACCCAGGGTTACCACATCTCCCTCAGAGGCCTTCCCAACTTCCTTTTAAATCCCTCCTGTGAAGAAATGTCCAATCTATTCACAACTGGTGCACTGCTAATATCTTTCCCATCCTTGGCCCAGCTCTGCATTCTAACGTATAAATTTAAATTAAAAAGAAAAAATCTGAACCCCCCTTGACAGGGGATTATGGGAACTGTAATCCGGCACATTTGGAGGTTGTGGAATGCCAATGAACATGGCCATAACATATCCAGGCTAAATTTATCTTAACTCCTCTTCCTCTTCATTCCTCCCGCTATAAGTCCTGCTTCTCAGCCTCAGCAGCCTCAACATTAACTCTCTTGTTTCTGAATTATATTTCTGGCCAGGATACAACCGATTACGTCGCTTATGTTGCCAAGGATCCCATCAACCAGCGAGGTGAGTGTGATTAGAGAAATGGCATGCCCCTTTTTAAAAGCTATCGCCAATGGCGTGGTACAGGAGCTTGCGAAAGGTGATATTTAAAAATTATGCTATGTTTCATCTTTGTGTACAGAGTAATGCATGCACCAGGCGTCAGCAGTTTTTTTTCCATAGCTGATACATCCGTGCATTTTGTGTATATACTCCTCGACTTACCACCATTCATTTAGCGACTCTTCGAAGTTACAACTGCACTGAAAAAAAGTGACTTTACAACTATGGTAGCATCCCTTTGGTCGCGTGATCAAAAATTGGGCATGTGGCACTTGCAATTGGCATGTATTTATATGATGGTTGCAGTATCCTGAGGTCATGTGATCCCCATTTGAGACTTTCCTACCTGGCTTCCAACAAGCAATGGGGGGGGGGGCGAATGAGATTCATTTAACGACTACATGATTAATTTAACCAGGGATCCCTAACCCCTGGGCTGCTTGAACTATTCGGAACCGGGCTGTGGAAGAGTGGGCAAGTGAGTCCATGTGGGTGCGCACATCCACGCCAGTGGTGGGATTAAATTTTTTTTTACAAATTTCTGTGGGTTCTGTGGTGTGGCTTGGTGGGCATGGCTTGGTGGGCGTGGCAGGGGAACGATACTGTAAAATCTCCATTCCCACCCCACTCCAGGGGAAGGATACTGTAAAATCTCCATTCCCAGCCACTCCAGGGGAAGATTACTGCAAAATCCCCATTTCCTCCCGATCAGCTGGGACTCGGGAGGCAGAGAATAGATGGGGACAGGGCCAGTCAGGGGTGGTATTTACCGGTTCTCCAAACTACTCAAAATTTCTGCTACCGGTTCTCCAGAACTTGTCAGAAGCTGCTGAATATCATTTCTGATCCTCGTTTGCATGAATAGTGGACAATCACATGCGTGCGTGTTTGCCCGCTGCTCACATGGAGCCATCCCCTTCTCACATGGAGCACCCACAACTTCTAAAGGCAAAACATTCCATTGGTTAATTGATGAACTTTATGAAATTCATCCAATTATCTTAATAGGATGAACTTTATGAAGTTCACTTCATAAAAAACCAAAAAAGTCCAGTGCCTCTTGAAAAAGCACCTTTGGGACAACCATGACTTGGATGACTGAGAATCTCCATAGACAGTAAATGGTGACAGTCATTAAGTGGGACATCACGTGACAGTACCTAATGTTATGACCTTTTTGTGGTGGTCGTTAAACAATTCCACTAGTCATTAAACAAATCCTTTATACCCAGTGGGCATTTTTTTTATGGCAACTAGAAGTAAAAGATTAGAAACTACCAAAACCTCCCCAAAATCGCAGTCAAATGACAGCAGGATGCCGCAGGCAGCTGTAAAATGCGAGCCGGTTGCCAAGAGCGCAAATTGCAATCACATTAGTGTGACAGAGGGTGTGGCCATCAGAACTTTGAAATCGAGTCGTAAGGACCTTTTTGGAGGCCCGTCGTAAGTTTGAACGCTTGCTAAAACTGTTCATTAAACGTGGACTACCTGTACGATATGCCAGTGAGTGGTGGCCATGAAAGAACCAGGGAAAAGAATGTGAATATTATCCAAGTGAAAACCTCAGTTTTATTCTTTCATTCCCCCTGCTTTCACTTTCACTTTTGATTTCACTTTCACTTTCACTTTCAATTTCACTTCTCCAGGCATGTCCTACTTTCAGAGTTCTGCCATTGACAGCCCTATTGGCCCCGTTAACCCAGCCTAAGATTGCATTGGCTGTTTCTGCAGCTGCATCCCGCTCCTATTTGTGTCTTCTTGTGTATCTGTTTTGGGTGGGGGCGGCGAAAATTATGTTGTCAGCGTTCCAGCGCTGACATATGAAAAGAGAGGAGAAGCTTGAACTTTTGCCTACTTAATTCCTTTGAAGATTCTGTTTCCTCGGAGATGGGAGGAGGGGGGGACATTCCTGTGATCTGACGGAGATGGGATGAGGAGAGTGGCTTGGAAGATAGCCAATGAGACACAGAGAATTGGGGATCGGAAAGGGAGGGATTGGGGGCAAAGGTCAGTGCTGACCGCAAAAGAGCCAGGGACAGATCACTATGCTCAATAAAGAGAAAATTTCCTCAAAGATCGGCAGTTTGGAAATTCATTTATTTTGAGATAGTATCGAAACCTGACATATGTTTAATTTCTGGTTGGGGATCTTCTCTTTCTCTTTGGCAGCTTGCCACATCTTGGAATGCTGTGACGGATTGGCGCAAAGCATCATCAACACCGTCGGGCAGGCCTTGAGCTCCGCTTTAAGCAGTACTTGCACAGCCACCCCAAACTGTAGCATCCCAGAGAGGTGGTACTATTATTATTATTTATTATTATTTATTATTATTATTATTATATTATTATATTATATTTGTATACCGCCCTTCTCCCGAAGGACTTGGGGCGGTGAACAGCCAGCAGATAAAATACAGAAAATACAAAAATTAAAACAATATTAAAATTCAATTAAATTAATTTGGCCCACAGTTAAAACACCCCTATATTAAACCCATAATTTAACAATTTAAAATTTAAAACAATTTTAAAAAGTTAGATCAGTCAGCCCTTGGTGAAACAAAAACGTCTTTAAGGCACGGCGGAAAGTGCGCAGATCCGGGATCCGCCGTATCTCCGGGGGCAACCTCGTTCCAGGGGTCAGTGCCCCCACAGAGAAGGCTCTCCCCCTGGGGGATAGATAGATAGATAGATAGATAGATAGATAGATAGATAGATAGATAGATGATGTAGATGAGAGATGATAGGTAGATAGAAAGAGAGATGAGAGGATGGAGAGAGAGAGAGAGAGAGAGAGAGAGAGAGAGAGAGAGAGAGAGAGAGAGAGAGAGAGAGAGAGAGAGAGAGAGAGAGAGAGAGATTTCTTTATTGGCCAAGTGTGATTGGACACACAAGGAATTTGTTTTTGGAGTCATAATTGATGAAATTCACATTAAACCCCATCCTTTTTCAAGCAAGTTCTTCAAGAGACCCAATGCAGTTTGAAACTGGAAGGACTTTATTTTGGAGGCTACCAAATTGAGACGAGGTTAGAAGTTGAGCTGGTAGGACATCTACAAGGCCCATCAACCCAATTAGCAGTATCTGGACTGGATCACTTTCGTTTGCTTCTTCCTGGCTAACGTACCCTTTTCTATTTCCAGAAAACAAGCTAAGGGAAAGAACCTTAGGAACCGAGGACAATGAACACATTGATCCCAGAAGGAAAAGCAAGAGAACATCTCTTGAGAGAAAGATAATCCAGCTAAGTTGGTGATGCTGTCCAATTAACTTGGAAGCTTCATGTATTGTCTTCTAGCCAAGATGTAAAAGCCAATGTTTTTCTGACAAAGAATTTAACAAAAAGACTATATTCCAAGCACAGTGGGTATGGCCACTTCTGAGTACCAATCTACAAACATTGAAGGCCCACGTTTGACCATCATCTCACTCCCATCCATTCACAAGATATCGCCAACTGAACCAACAGTGATATTCTTTATCTGGTCTATTTTTAAGCTAAACCATCTCGTAGTGCCCACAATGGTCAATACACCCAAGAATGATCTCCAGAACTTCACATCTGGCAAAAAAAACATTTTCACACAACTTGAAGAACACACAGACTATTACCCAGAACCACCAAATGCGCATGAAGAAAACATTTCAGTGACTTTGGAATGATCACAATCTTGAGGCATGGAACTTACATGCTCCCCAACAACCAAGATCCTTAAAATAAGACAAATCAGGCAGGTTAAGAGCAAGATGGAGCTCAACACAACGATGGGCCCTTTTTTTCCTGGCACATTTCTGCCGAAGTTCTGCCCTTTAATCCTCTTTACCTACAACTATTTGACAAAAGCACCCTCAGAGCCTTGTTCCAGCTCATTTGGCCCCATCCTAAGTTCGGATGCGCATCAAGAGCCACACTTACGTCTCGAAGTTCCTTGGCCACCTCCTTGAGTTCTTGCAGAATGCCTTCTAGCTGCCCAATCACCATTTTCATGCGCCCTCGGATGCGCTCCTTCTCACTGATGTTGCAGCCGTCTGTTGTGTTGTTACTGGGCTTCCTATCCTGCAAATCCCGGTTGTTCATTCTTCACAGGGTGCCGGGGAGCTGGGGCAGAGTTGCGTTGCACATTCTGCTGTTGCCCGACCAGATTGTGCCTCCACAGAGCCTCTCTTGGGTGGGGAGATCTCCACATTTTAACGCTCCCCCCTGCCCAGAAAGTCCCAGCAGCGCACTCACTTCCTATCCTTTGTTCTCCCTAGGGTCACTGGAAGGGGCCAACCAAGCCAGAGAGAATGGGATGGGATCGAGGGGTTGATGAGTCCAACACACATACATCTCCTCCAACTTGGCCACCAGCCCATCTAGGTAGCCAAGGTTTGGAATCACCATTGGTCCACAAACCCGGTTTGGGAGAGAGAATGCCACAGACTGTGAGCTTGAAAAAGGTGAAGGTGTGTTATTTGTGCTCTGCTCTGCAGAAAGAAGCCAGTGATCCCTGCCAGTCTCTATGCCACGTTCTCCTTCCCAACAGACAGGGCATCGCCTCCAGCTAGTTCATCACCGCTCTTGGGGAGAATCCCTGGAAGATCTCGGCTCTTGATTCCTTTCTCAGGGTCTTCTCCACTTCTGCTGCCCAGGAGTCTTCTGCATGGGTAGCTTGGTTTGACGGCCATCCGTACAGCTTGAGGGTCTAAGACTAAGAGGGTCATGCAGCAATTCCCGCCCGGCTAGGCTTTGGAGGTGTCTCGTTGAGATCTTAGGAAGCTCCTTTAAAATGAGGAACATGGGGAGGTTTAGCCTTCAAAGGGGGCCTTGGGGAGTTGCTGGAAGCACAGAGTATTGCACACCATTTCCTGCAGTGTGAGAGAAAGAGAGAGAGGGGAAGGGAGGGGAAAATTAGCATGATCAGAAACAGCTTTGGGGAGAACTCCACCAGCCTCCCAAGTCACTGAACTTCAACTTGACTGGGTGTTCCCATGGTGACTCCTGGTTCTTCTTCACAGAAGAATTACCTTCTGCTCACCCAGAAAAGCCACCAATGGGGTTCAGCTCTGTGTTTCAAGGCAGCCCCGAGTACAATATATATATATACTCCTGCGTTGTGGGGTCTCCTTCTTTGGGTCCTCCCAAACGCCATCCCTTCTGCAGGAGGTCCTCCTCCCTAAGAACCATCCCCAAGGTGATCCACCTGGAACGGGAAACCCTGAGCTGCATGTGTAACACTCGGCCACCCCCAACCTGTGAGTGTGCTGATTTCTACACACCAGCCAACTGAAACTTTTAGACCTCCTCTCTCCCTCTGGGGCCCCCCTGACCTAGCAGAGGTCCTGTGAATCCAACTGATTTTATTTTATTATTTTATTTTAGAAGTCCAAGAAAAGATCAGCTCCCTTTTCATCCATTAAGACAACTTAAAAAGCGGCAACTTACAACCACAGCAGCTGGTCAGGAACACACTTCCTACCAAATGGATCTCTTGCTCTTCCTTCCAGCAGCACCTTTGGATGCCAACCAGATCCTCAGATCCCATTCCTGTTCTCCAAGACCAAGCCGACCGTGGACGCTGGTGGTGAGGCATCAGATACATCCAATAAAAAAAATTAGAAGATTTAAAAAAAAAACAAAAAAACACGGACAACAACCCTTACCCCACAGTTTCTCAGGTTAACCCTTTGGCTCTTGAGGACACATCTGAATTATTGCTTTCTGATTTTCCTTTAAGCAAGGTGGGGAGACGTGAAGAATTTCACCCTGCCTCTTTGCAACCAGCTGGAGAAAGTAATCTATTCCCATTCAGAAACTCTGGCTTGGCAGCCGTGCCATCTGCAGAGCAGGAGGTTGCGATCCCATCACTTCAGCGACCCCAGGCCTTGAGTCCACAGGTGACCGCCATGGTTCCCAGCTTGGGACAAGACAAGAGGGTCTCGGAGCCCATTCGTGTCCTGAACGCGTTGGACGCCAAGGGTCGGGTGGGTCTCCCAACATCAACTGGAAGCAACTTGGAAGGGCCAAGCAAGGGATGGAGAAACGGAGATGTTTCTTGTGGAGCCCTCAATGGATGCTCTTGGAGACCATGGCTTGCATCATGGTAAGAAGAAGAAGGGATTTGAGCAAAGCTGGAGAGAGAGGGAGACAGAGAGACAGAGAGAGGGGGGGAGAGATGGAGAAAGAGAGAGAGAGAGAAACAGAGGGAGAAAGAGAGAGAGAGGGAGAAAGAATACACGTCTTCTTTAAAGCTCCCAGACTTTGAGTGACAGGCAAGTCCAGCATCCAGATTCCGATGCTTGGAGGGCCAGCTAGAAAGCAACGAAGCAGATGCTGACCACTTTCGCCCTGGTCTTCTTCCCACTCGGGTCTCCTGAAGTCCGCCTGAGCATCTTGCATTCGGCCCCAGCAGCTGCCCAACACCCCTCCTCCTCCTCCTCTTCCTCCTCCTCCTCCTCCTCTCCTGCTAGCGAGCGGTGGAAAAAACTGCACTGGAGGCTTTCCCCCTCCCTCCTGACATCCTCACAGTCTGCCAGCTTGAAGGCGATTGCTCAGCTCCGAGATGCTAAGCTGGTGCTGTGTCAGAAAAGGAGGCAGGGCCTTGGTGGTACAGGGGGATTTAAAGGGACAGAATCGCCTGCATCCCAGCTGTTAGTTGCAAGCAGAGGAAATCACCCCCTCCCCCCTCAACCTTCCCTGGGTTTTTGTTGTTGTTGTTGTTGTTTTTTAAAAAAAGCTAATTACAAATGTAGCTAGGAAAGGTACAGTTGGAATAGATCTCTGGCCAACGGTATGGATGCTAATAGAATTGTAGAGCTGCAGAATGCAAGGGTGGGAGGAGAGAATCTTTGGAGAGCATCTAGTCCAGCCCCCCTACTCAGGGCCAGAGTCCACTTTTTGTAGCTTCTTCCCAACCTTTCGGATCTCAGGGACCACTAAATTCATAATTTTAAATCACGCGGACCACGAATATGATCTGCCTAATGACCAGCTGGGTGGGCGTGGCTAGGTGGTCATGTGACTGGGTGGGCGTGGCCAACTTAATGTCACTCACGTCGAGGGGCACCTCACCGGCCTCTACTCGCCCCTCCCCTCCCAGCCATTCCTCGCCTGCCCGTCCGGGCTCCTTAGGGCCCCAACAGGAAGTGGTTGTTGGCACTAAGCAGCCATCACGAGAAAGAGTTGGCAACATAGCTCAGTTCAAATAGGATCTGATGGAGAAGGAGGCTCAGCAGAAGCACCTCACTGAGGACTATGAGCATAGGCTTTCCAAGCAGAGGGAAGACCTGTGGGAGTGCAAGGCCAGGTACCGGCACCTGGAGTTGGCACCCCAGATGTTGCTGAATCTCTAGCTGTCCTAGAAAGCATGGTCAATGGTGAGGAATCTTGGGATTTAGATTTCAGGCACATCTGAATCCCACAAATCCATCCTAGCATTATAGCCTTGATAGTACAGTGGTTTAATGCACCCTGTAATTAACACAGCTGCTTGCAATTTCTGCAGGTTCGAATCTCGCCAAGGCTCAAGGTTGACTCAGCCTTCCATCCTTTCTAAGGTAGGTTAAATGAGGACCCAGTTGTGGGGGCAATAAGCTGACTTTGTATAAAAATATACAAAAAAGTATGAAGGCTATTGCTTAACGCATTGTAAGCCGCCCTGAGTCTCCGGAGAAGGGCGGCATATAAATCAAATTTAAAAAAAAAAAATCACTGATGGAACGGAAAAGTAGGAAAGGGAATATAATACAATCTTTTGTCTTCTTTGCTCTTGTCAAACAAAAGAGAAGAAAAGAAAAAGAAAAAGCTAATTCCTGAAGTTCATTCAGGTATGAATACAGTAGTGGCCAAAATTGTGAAAACCTTTTGGGAAAAGTGCATTTTCTGAAACTAGCTAATAACACCACTTCTTTTTTTTTTTTAGCACCATAAAATTATATATCAATGGAAAGATAATTTAATCCAGAATGTAATGCAATACCTTTTATGAAGGATTTGCTATTAGAATAGCAGTTACAGTACAAAGAAGAAAAGTGAAACGTAGAAAAAACGAGATAGGCAAAAATTATCACCGTGTCAGTGAATACTTAGTTGGGTAACCTTTAGCATGAATGACGGCCTTACAACGTCTTCCCATGGAGTGAACCAAATCTTTGAGCTCTGCAGCTGTTATCATGTGAAACCAAGATTGAATGTTGGCTTCTATTAACTGGGTTTTATTGCTGGGTCGTTTCTGATGAACAACTTTCTTTAGCCGGCTCCATAGATTTTCAATTGGGTGAAGGTCTGGGCTATTCCCAGGCCATTCCAGAAGTGGAATAGGATTCTCTTGAAACTCCCCCCCCCCCAAAAAAGTGGTGTTATTAGCCATCAAACCTCAAAAATACACTTTCCCCAAAAGGTTTCCACAATTTTGGCCACTACTGTACATCTGCTGGAATATCCAGAGATATTTGGCCTTATGTTCGGTAAAGATTAAGGTGTCTGTCCTTCATAATATGATTCTATCTGTCTATATATTTGACTCCAATTTCCCGTAATTATCACCATTGCAGTTCCTTGTCATATTGCTTTAGAGATGGGAGAACTCGGAATAACAGCCTGTCAGAAATTCTGGGATGTCCACACAGACATTGATTTGCCAGAGAAGAGATGAAAGTCCTTTCACTCATTCCCTTCCTTTTACTCTCCTCTTCTTCCTCTTCCTCTTCCTCTTCCCGAAAAACCCTACAGGAACTCCATAGGAACTCATCTAGAAGGTTTTCTAGGCTTTTTATAACTGTTGATCACAGGATATTTGGAGACAGTATTTGTATTATTTGTATTTATTTATTTCGTCAAGCATGTATTTTATGACAGATGCAAGGGTAAACATAATTATAAATACATGAAAAGGATACGAATAAAAGAAAACATTAGGACAGCGAGGGTAGGTATGTTGGTACGCTTATGCACGCCCCTTACAGACCTCTTAGGAATGGGGTGAGGTCTACAGTAGACAGTCTAAGGTGAAAGTTTTGGGGATTTGGGGAAGAAACCACAGAGTCAGGTAGTGCATTCCAGGCGTTGACCACTCTGTTACTGAAGTCGTATTTTCTGCAGCCTAGTTTGGAGCGGTTTACGTTGGGTTTGTATCTATTGTGTGCCCTTGTATTGTTCTGGTTGAAGCTGAAGTATTCATTGGCTGGTAGGACATTGTAATAGATGATTTTATGTACTATGCTTAGGTCAGACCGAAGACGACGAAGTTCTAAATTGTCTAAGCCCCAAATTTTGAGTCTGGCAGCATAAGGTATTTTGTTGCAAGCAGAGGAGAGGAAGACTCTTCTTGTGAAATATCTCCGGCAGAGGTGGGTTTCAGCAGGTACTGACGAGTTCTGGAGAACCGGTAGTAGAAATTTTGAGTAGTTTGGAGAACTGGTAGCGGAAATTTTGAGTAGTTCAGAGAAACGGTAAATACCACCTCTGACTGGCCCCGCCCCCATCTATTCTCTGCCTCCTGAGTCCCAGCTGATCGGGAGGAAATGGGGATTTTGCAGTAACCTTCTCCTGGAGTGCGGAGGGAATGGAGATTTTACAGTATCCTTCCCCTGCCACACCCACCAAGCCACGCCCACCAAGCCATGCCCACCAAGCCATGCCACGCCCACCAAGACACACCCACAGAACCGGTAGTAAAAAAATTTGAAACCCACCACTGATCTCTGGACTCGTTCGATTGTATTAATGTCCGATATGCAGTGCGGATTCCAGACAGATGAGCTGTATTCAAGAATTGGATCTGGCAAAAGTTTTGTATGCCCTAGTTTGCAGTTCAATATTACCGGAGAAGAAGCTACGCAAGATTAGGTTAACAACTCTTAATGCTCTTTTAGCAATGCTGTTACAGTGAGCTCTGGCGCTTAGATCATTTGAGATGAATACTCCAAGGTCTTTGACAGAGTGAGGGTCGTCTGTTAGGTCATATCCGTCCAGCTTGTATTTTGTGTTCTGATTTTTTTTTTGCCAATGTGTAAGACAGTATGTGTTGTGTGTGTGTGTTGTGTGTGTGTGTTTGTGTGTTACAACACCTCCTTGACCAGATGAGGAAAGGCTATCTCCGTATTAATCAATTCGGAAACAGGGAGCCGCAGCCTTCAAAAACCAATTTATGGGAGGTGGGATTTGGGATGTGATGCTCATATGCCTCCCCCGAGTTTTCATCTGTTATTGGAGGTTATGAAAAAACTAGGCTGGGTCTGGCCTTAGAAGATGCTCTGAAAACCAGGACAGGTACCGTAATCTGATATTTGTGCTCATCCAATTTGTATTCCTAAGAGAAGGATCACATCAATGTGCAGTGCTGAAAAGTAGATTTGAGTCTTTATTATTCTGTAGTGTAGGCTGCACTTTCAGAACTGATGACTAGGAACCACGGAAGGATTAATCACCCAAAATTGTTTGGGGAGTTTCATTTTATGTCCTCTCACCACACTCTCTCTTCCTCTCCCCCTCTCTATCTTCTTTCCATGTTTGTTTATGATTTTATTTTATTTTTTGTTAGAATATGATTCATTGGGCGCTTTGCTCTTGAGGGAAGATAAGCAGAGGCAGGTTCTAGTGTTAGCAGAGATAAATTCTTGCCCTCCTTTCTGCCTCTCCAGAGCTTCCCTGCCACAAAATCTCAAGAACTCATCTGACCCTCTCCTATATAGGTATCCTAATCCCGAAGCTGTAGGATGGCAACCAACCCAAGTCCTTTGAAGAGGTCTTCAGCTATCAGGATGTTGCTTCCTTAAGTTTGAGCTGCTGAAGAAACATCAAGCTAACCTTTGTGGACTAAGAAGTGGGACATCCCAGGTAGTCCTTTGGCCTGCAACCATTTGTTTATTCTACTTGATCAATTTGAGATGATGGATAGATGAGTGGATGGATGGATAGATAAATAGATAGATGAATGAATGGATGGATAGATAGATAGATGGATAGATAGATATAGATTGATGATCATAAAGATAGATAGATAGACAGACAGACAGACTAATAGATAGACAGACTAATAAACAGATGAATAGAGATAGATAGATACCCTCTTTCCCCCAAAATAAGACATCCCCTGATAATAAGCCCAATCGGGCTTTTGAGCGCATGGCAATAAGGCCAAGCGTTTATTTCAGGGTTCAAAAAAATATAAGGCAGGGTCTCATTTTCAGGGAAACACGATAGATAGATAGATAGATAGATAGATAGATAGATAGATAGATAGATAGATAGATAGACAGACAGACAGACAGACAGACAGACAGACAAAGATAGACGATAGATAGATAGATAGATAGATAGATAGATAGATAGATAGATAGATAGATAGATGGAGGATGGATGGATGGATGGATGGATGGATATAGACACACAGACAGACAGACAGACCAATTTGAGGGACCTGTGAACATGGTTAATTATTTTAATTCAGTACCATTTTCAGTACCATTTACCAGGTTTCATAGCCAAACACCCACGCAGCAAATTAATCAATCGATAATCTGCTGAGTGCAAAAT